TTCCTTCCTTCCTCCCCTTCCTGCTTTTCCTTTCGAATCCTTCTTGCCTGTAGGAAACAAGCCGACTTTCCCCTGCATTTTATTCTTGGCAAGCTTTGGCATTATCTTAAACAAAAAATTAAAGTATCCGAAATAAAAACATCACTTTTGGGGGGAGCAAAAGAACAGACACATTCATATATCTGGAAAGTACAATAAATCAAATTCCCGGAAGCCTTGGAATGAGTTTTTTTTTAGCACTTGAACTTCAGAATTTGTAAGTTCACGAAAACTTATTTTACTTCTGTTGATTTCACTGCTAGGAGTGATGGTGGTTTTTTTTTTTTTTTTTTTTAACTTAAATGAAAGTATCAGAAATGAAAATATGCATTTATTTTAATTTAAAGCTGGTTTTTTAAGATGCAGCTAGGAGTTCTTGGGGTTATGAATTAGAAATGACCAACTTTTAAAAATGTGGTGAAATGTTTAAAATAGGCAACGTTTGGTGATGAATTCAAGTGCCCCTCAAAGATTTTTGTCTTTTTATAACGAGCATTTTTAAAATGTGCATTTGAAGTGACTTAGAACACACAGGAGAGCTAGTTGAAAGCAAAGCTTTAGTGTTAGGCATCATTAACTTAAACATGTTCCTCATAACTTTCATGATGCTCTCTCTTTTCTCCTTTCCATTCATTCCCTCAAAATCTTTGGGTAGGGAAACCTGGCTACTTAATGAAATTGCAGGCCTTAAGCCCTTGTAAAAAAAAAAGTGGTGATTTATTTGCAACACCTAATCCACCTGTATAGAAGGTGAGATCTTATTCATCTTTTCTTTTTTTTTTTTTTTTTGTCTTATCCAGATTACACAATTGAAAATAGATCACAACCCCTTTGCAAAAGGATTTCGGGATAATTATGACACGTAAGTAATCTTGCACCTTCCTTCTCAAGTAGTTGTGGAATTGGGCTTTAGGTCAAAGGTGGATGGTCGTGTACAAGGCTTTTGGAAGCTGGAGTGTGTGAAGACAAGGTGTCTTTAAGGTTTCCCCTTTCCTTTTCATGGGCTCCCCTTCTCTCTGCTGACCTTCTGGCTTGGTACTTCCGTAGTTTTGGTCAAAGATTTCCTCCACTTATTTCTGTCTTTCTTATGGGTTACAAAGTTGGTGGTGGGCCTCTGGGGCTGGCTGGCTGGGGGAGCTGCCCTGGTTCCCGGGTGCACGAGCTGAGCTGTATGTGGCGCTGCAGGTGCTCAGCTCAGATTGTCTGTGTCTGAAACCGCCCGATCCTGCCGGAAAGTGCATGTGGCTCTGGCAGTTGTTACAGTCTCCTTGGCATATGTGGCTTTTATTTACCCGTTTTCAAGTTTTGTGTAATAGCTTTTCCTGTGCAAGTTTACTATGGACTGAATAAAAATGTGCACCCACCATAGGCAAGGTCATGAGCAGAGCCACTGTTGCAGTTATTTAAGGCTTTGGGAAGGACCCAGGTGCTGTTGCTGTGTATTATTTATAAGCTTCAAAAGAAAAATATTTCCTTTTATCCTTTGCATCTAGGCGTGTTTTAATTAAATGTGTTGGTACCCTTTTCTCCAGGCTTCCCTTACCTATCTCCATTTCTTTTCTATCAAAATGCTGTTCTCTGGGGGCAACGGTAGATGTAAACTTAGTGCTTTCTGGGTTTGTTCTTGCATTCTTGCTCAGAGTTCAGATACAGTGCCCAAGAGTTCAAATACTGTTATATAGAAAACATATATATATATCAAAATCTAAATCTGGATTATAGGAATCCCCCACTTTTTTCTGGCCACAAAAGAGAGGGGTACATAAATTGTGAATTTCATGGCTTGCATTAAGTGCCTGGGATAGAGCTACAAACTTGAAGTTCTCTTTGACCAGCAATAGATGAAATTTGTGGAGAATTAGACAAGTGGCTGCTTCTATTCCATCTCCAGGTAGATTGCAAACTTCCCTCCTGGTATTTTTATAATAAATTGAAAGGAGAGTCGTTGATAGTTCTGTCTATATCTGTCATGTGCCTCCCCCAAAAGTAGTTCTGAGGAAGCAAGCCTTGTCAAGATGATTCCCTAGAATAAAAACTCAGCTACTCTAGTCCTCACAACCTAAAAATGTGGACCCGGCACTGTGGAAAGTGTGTGGCCCAGGAGACCAGAGATATTGGTCTCTGTACTAGGGGGTCTTGTAGATTTTGAGCTTTTAATTCTGTTGTGAACATCTGTTCCAAAGCATTTTATTTTGCACAAATCAGTTCGGTAATCCCATGTGGGTTGGGACCTGGATGGGCATCTAAACTGTATCTTTTGCAGGCTGCTTTTTTCTTCTTAAAATATTGTGGTGGTAAACAGAAGATATTTGCACCTTGCTGGTTACGTTCCCTTCCTGCCTCCCTCTGCTTCTCTTATTTGAACCTGGGATTAAATTTCAGGAGGGAAATTTTGTAGAGTGAGCAGAATGGACTTGAGCACCAGCAACATTACCCTCATCTGCCCTCCTCTGGCTGATTTCTGTTGGAAAAGTCACTTCCTTTTGATTCTTAAACTGTGTATTTTTCATAAAAACGTCTTCATCTATACAAACGGACAGGTTTTTAGGGGGTAGGGGAGAGCAGAATGGCTTATGACACCCACCCTTTCCCCTTTTATGTTGAATTTTTGGGCATGGCTCACTTTTGGAGAAACAGGGAGAGCAATGAGGGTTCAGGGGGGACTAGAGGATTGCTTGGCCACTCACCAGGGAATCTCCTCCCCAAGGGATTAAGGTCTGACAAGACTGAGGCTCTCTCTCAAAACAGCGTGTTGATCAAAGATTAAAACGTTTATGTGTGAGCTAAATAGAAAGGGAGACATGTGTCTATGTGTAGGAGAAAACACTTCTACCAATCTTGATCCAATCTCTGGTTCTCCCTCAATTCTAATGGGATTTTCTAGGCCCAGGGCCTACGGTGAATCTTTCATTATTTTACCGAAGGTGATTCCCAGGAACACAATTTCTGTCTGTGGGCAATTATTTAACTTCCCTTTGCCTCAGTTTTCTCATCTGTAAAGTGGGATAATAATGCTACCTAACTGGGAGGATTGTTGTGATGGTCAACTAAATTACTATCTGTACAGTCCTAGATAATGGTGCCTGGCACATAGTCAAGTTGTGTAACGGTTAGCTATTATTAGTGGGAGATTGCTTAGAGGAGGTCGGTAACCACTGTTAAGAGTTTGCCCCTTAGGTGTTTTTTGGTGTTTTTTGTTGTTGTGGTTTTTTTTGTTGTTGTTGTTTGTTTGTTTGTTTGTTTGTTTTTTACCAATAAAGGTCAAAAGCTAGGGAGAGATCAGAGTAAAAAACACGTTTTCTTGGAGCTCCTGGCTGGCTCAGTCAGTAGAGCATGCGACTCTTGATCTCAGGGTCCTGAGTTCAAGACCTACCTTGGGTGTAGAGCTTACTTAAAAAAAAAAAAAGTGCACCTTTTCTCTGTAAAAGAATTGTATTGATTGATGACTTTGTCTCTAAGTAGTAATTCTTGTTAGTATTGGTAGAGGTGGGGGGTAAAGGATCACCTGGGGGAAACAATGGACAGCAAGTACAGTAGAGGCTTCCAGCAGCGAGTCTTCAAGTCTCAGAAGACTGGTGAAGGCCAGGCTTCCATGATTACTACCTGGACAGCCCCAGTGCGTGTCAAATGGAAGAAAGTGTTCTTAAAAGAGTGAAGAAATGGATATCTTGTTTAGAAATTTTGCGCAGAAACTCTCACTACACAGGAAAGGCCCACAGGGCAAGGAACACCGTAGTCCCTGGGCGAATCTGCCCTCATGTTTATAAATACATTGGAGAAGTGGGATGAGTGTCCCCTGCTGTGCTCTGCTCTCTGATCCCCCGTGCAGTCGGTGAGAGAGAGCGAGGGAGAGGGAAGACTTCCTCTTGGTCTGCATTTTGCTTAGGTTCCTGTATAAGTACATTGATCCCTCTACAATTTCACGATTTATTTTGTTTGGGGGAGGACGCAGGTCTGTGACCTTTCGTCTCTCTCCATCCTGGACGGCAAGTTACAGATGGACAGTGTGGGGGTGGGCCACAAGTGGAGGTGACCTTCCCTTCTGCCTCCCGAGGGGACCTCTCGGCCACCCCTCGGTTCTCTCTCTCTCTCCTTCCCTCGCAGGATCTACACTGGCTGCGACATGGACCGCCTGACCCCCTCGCCCAACGACTCCCCGCGCTCGCAGATTGTGCCCGGGGCCCGCTACGCTATGGCCGGTTCTTTCCTGCAGGACCAGTTCGTGAGCAACTACGCCAAGGCCCGCTTCCACCCCGGTGCGGGCGCGGGCCCCGGGCCGGGCACGGACCGCAGTGTGCCGCACACCAACGGGCTGCTGTCGCCGCAGCAGGCCGAGGACCCGGGCGCGCCGTCGCCGCAGCGCTGGTTTGTGACACCGGCCAACAACCGGCTGGACTTCGCCGCTTCGGCCTACGACACAGCCACGGACTTCGCGGGCAACGCGGCCACGCTGCTCTCGTACGCGGCCGCGGGCGTGAAAGCGCTGCCGCTGCAGGCGGCGGGCTGCACCGGCCGTCCGCTCGGCTACTACGCCGACCCGTCCGGCTGGGGCGCGCGCAGCCCCCCGCAGTACTGCGGCGCCAAGTCGGGCTCGGTGCTGCCCTGCTGGCCCAACAGCGCCGCGGCCGCCGCCCGCATGGCGGGCGCCAACCCCTATTTGGGCGAGGAGGCCGAGGGCCTGGCCGCCGAGCGCTCGCCGCTGCCGCCCGGCGCCGCCGAGGACGCCAAGCCCAAGGACCTGTCCGACTCCAGCTGGATCGAGACGCCCTCCTCCATCAAGTCCATCGACTCGAGCGACTCGGGGATTTACGAGCAGGCCAAGCGGAGGCGGATCTCACCCGCCGACACGCCGGTGTCCGAGAGCTCGTCGCCGCTCAAGAGCGAGGTGCTGGCCCAGCGGGACTGCGAGAAGAACTGCGCCAAGGACATAGGCGGCTACTACGGCTTCTACTCGCACAGCTAGGCCGGCCCTGCCCGCCCGGCTCCGCGCCCCGCCGCGGCCCGGCCCCCTCCCGCCTCCCACCCCCAGCCAGCCCCTCGCAGCTCTCCCCAGCTCCTCCTCCCCACGCCCCACCTCGCGCACCCCCTCATTTCACTTGGCCCTCGAATACCGTCTGCGACGAATAAGTACAGGTCTCCGAGTGCGATTTTAACCTTTTTTTGCACAGCAGTTTCTGCAGTTAGCACACCGACCTTCAACTTTGCTGTAAACCTTTTGGTTTTCCTCCTAACTCTTCTTCTGTGAAGTTACACTCCTAACAAGCCTCCTCCCTCTCGTCTTTTTCTCACCCTCTCCTTCTCTTTCTTGTAATGAAACTCTTCACCTTTAGGAGACCTGGGCAGTCCTGTCAGGCAGCAGCGATTCCGACCCTCCAAGTCTCGGCCTCCCCATTAACCGTAGGATGTTGACTCTAGAACCCGGACCCACCCAGCGCGTCCTTTCTTATCCCCGAGTGGATGGATGGATGGATGGTAGGGATGTTAATAATTTTAGTGGAACAAAGCCTGTGAAAATGACTGTATATAGTGTTAATTTACTGTAACGAATGGCTAGTTTTTATTTTCATCGTCAAGGCACAAAACCAGTTCACGCTTAACCTTTTCATTCGTTTCTTTTCCTTTCTTTGCCATTTTCTCCACCCCCCCCACTTTAAAATTTTTTCTTGTGAGATAATTAACAATATTCTAAGAGGCTCTGGAAACGTGAAATACTTGATAGATAATGATGGGCTTCTCACTTTCCCTCAATCCGTTGCATGAAATAATTGCTCTGTGCTCTAATGCACACACATAGCTAAGGAGAATCCGACAAACACCTGTAAAGGATAGGTGTCTTGTTCATAGGCAAGTCGATTAAGTGGCATGATGCCTGCAAAGCAAAGTTAACTGGAGTTGTATGTCCCTCCCCACTCCCCACCCCCCCCCCCCTTCTAAATAGAATAGCTCGACATCAGCAATATTATTTTGCCTTATTTGTTTTTCCCCAAAGTGCCAAATCCATTACTGGTCTGTGCAGGTGCCAAATATGCTGACAAACTGTTTCTGAATATCTTTTCAGTCCCCCCCTCCACCTTTATATGCTGTAAATCTTTGTAATGAATATCTACTAATGATATAGATGACTGAATTGTTGGTAACTATAGTGTAGTCTAGTGAAGATAAATTGTGTGAGTTGTATATTTTACTGCATTTTAGTTTTGAAAATGATTTCCCTGCCACCTAGAAACAGCTGAAATTTGACTTCCTTGGGAAAACACTAGCATTAATGCAAGTAAGACTGGTTTTTTCCCCTCTTAAGTCTTGTTATATTTGATAAGGAGCATTAATCCCCCTGGAAATAGATTAGTAGGATTTCTAATGTTGTGTAGCAAACCTATACTTTTTTTTTTGTATTTTAAAATTAATGTGAAATATGCATCATACACAATATTCAATCTAGATTCCAGTCCATGGGGGGATTTTTCCTAATAGGAATTCAGGGTCTAAACGTGTGTATATTTTGGCTCTTCTGTAAATCTAATGTTGTGATTTTTATATTTGTTTCGTTTTGTCTGTGAACTGAATAATTTATACAAGTACACACTCCATTGAGAAACGTTTTGTTTTTTGCTCGTTTGTATCGTCTGTGTATAACAAGTAAATAAATCTGGTAAAACGCTATGGTGTTTGAAAGCAGTTTACAGTTTGAAAATAATTTATTATAGGTGATTACTTTTAAGGGTTAAGGAAGAATAGCCTGTTCCCACTCCAGGATGGGGCAGTCTGTTTAATGGGAATCACCTCCCATTTCCCACTTAAATTTGTTTTATAGCAGTACCAGTAATTACTTTTTCCTTCTTACTTACAAAGTACTTAGTTCCCTATGAGTCAAGTTTCACTTTGTTGCACTTTTTTTTTCCCCAGGAAAACGTAGGCAGTTCCTCATCATAGCTATCTGATTTTCTCTGAAGTAGGAAATAATGCGAGCAGGAAAAGGAGGGTCTTAAATAAGGAGTTAAGAAAATTTCTTTCAATTTCACAGGCGGGAGGCTTTGGGCAAGAGTAGGGTGTGATTGAAATGCATGTCAAAATAGGCTGTTGACCACAGCTTTAGGCAGATGTCGAAAATCCCGATCTTTAAATACGAGGCCTTGGAGATGGGTGGCGAATCTGTAAATGCAAACACAGAATGGCCTACATTTCTTGAGTGGATTGTTTCGGGGGGATTGGGCGGGGCTGGAGCGGGGTAAGGACTCATTGAACAAACTCGGAACGGTCGGTATTCAGGCACTGAGTTTAAAACTTGCTTTGGGAGGTATCTTCATCGGGTTACGCTCCATCTCTCTCTTGTGGGAATTCCTGGGCCCAGGCTCCAGATCTCCCACCAGAAGCCAGATCCCTGATATCCCTTGAGAATTCGAACTGAAGATACCAAAATGTGTACATGGTCATGCGTGTGTGGTGGGGGGTGGGGAGGAGGAGGAGGAAGTCCACTAGTTAAGGAGTCCGCAGAGCGCTGACTTTATTTCGTGCAGGAGCGATTTTTGTACTTTTGTCTCCAGAGAAAGGAGATCCAGGAAAGAGGTTGAAAATGGTTCAACATTCTTGCTTAGTCTGGGTCAGTCTCAGGTTATGGGACTAAACGTACCACCACCTAGAGATTGTCCCGTAACCCCTTTGCAATTTGAGAGATGCAAAGGGGCTTCAAAGTTCCAATTAAAATGAAAATTGAGAGGGGGGAGCAAACCCGATTTGCTGTCCCTGGGCAATTTCGCCACTAGACGGCGTTCCGCGGAGTTTTGTCTGCCACACCGAGAGGAGATGGCTGATTTTCCTTTGTGTTTCTTTCACCCTTCCCACACCTAAGACCTGAACGAGAGGACCAAAAGTACAAAACACGGTGCCTGTGTAGCCAGAGAAGTTGAGCAGTGTACTCTTGTAACACCCCACTGGGTCTGCGCTCCTGTGACCCGGCCGCCCAATGCCGCCGGGGAGGAGGCGCACAAGCGGTCAAGGTCCCGAGGGCGCGGGGTGCGGGGGCCGCGCTCGGCCCCGCCGCCCTCGGGCCACAGTCACGGCGAGCAAAGGAGCTGCTGTCATGTGTGGAAACGAAGCTCTCAGCAGCCGAGGATAGATTTCACAGGAACGTAGTGCCTTGTACCGAAAGACGCACTTTAGCTGCTATTAGGAAGTACTTCAAAAAATTGGGGAGGTCGTTTCCCTTGCAGCTTTGCCACCATCTCCACCATCTGCTGTGTGGACTGAGTCAGCGTGAGGTAAATTTGCAGCTCCGCGCTCCTCTCGGAGGCAGTGTGCTTTCGGGTCCCTTTCAAGCATGATCAGTTTTACTGGCTTTCAGTGTCTTGGGTGTCTAGTGAAGGGACACCGTCGCTGTGTCAGAGAAGCTGCTGCTGTTCCAAGGAAATCAGAGTTTGGATTTGGGAGGGCCTGTAGCAACCAAAGTTCGCGTCCCGGGTTAGATTTCGAGTTGCCTTTTCTCCGTGAGGGTAAGGGTCAGGCGAGGACGGAATCCTCCCCGCAACCTGCAGATATCCTCAGTTTTTAAAAGTGTGTTTTCAACGGTGTATTTTCTAAAAGAGGCAGGAAGAAAAAAGGCGAGCGTGCGGCGAGCACTGCATTCTGGCTCACGCCTTCCCGCCACTCACATTCCGCGCCATCTTAACTCACTTGCAACCACCCGCTCGGGGCCGAGTGCGGTCGCCTGCGGGCGCGGCTCTAGCCAGGGGAGCTGTGCCCTCGGTTGGTACCTCTCGTGGCGGACGCCGCGGGTCAGAGTAGACGAGAGGCGTGGCCAGAACGCGCTGCGGCCGCGGGCGGCCGGTGCGTGCTGCTTCGGCGGGCGAGGCTGCGCTTGGCCCGGGCCTAGCGCCGTCCGGGCGGGCGCCCTCGAGCCCAGGCCGGTGCGGGCGGGCGGGCGTCTGCAGGAGCTCGGCCGAGTGAGGCCGTGCGGGAGGCCTGCTCCCCGACGCTGAGCCTGGGCCGAGGCTTCCCTGCTTCGTCTGCGGGCCGGAGGCTGCACCCTGGCTGTCCTGTCCCAGTCCAGACAGGGATTCGGGGCGGAGGTCCAGGCTGGCAACCCGGGCCCAGCTGCAGGCCCGGAGCCCAGGAGGCTCGCTCTGTGCTCTCGGGAGTCCGTTCGAGCCAGGCCGAAACCTTGGCTGTGTCGGAGGGCGGCCTTTCCAGCTTGTAGCTCCTCGACCGCCACGGCCAGGCGAACGACTGGGATTTAGGGCCGACAGCCTTTTTAGGCCTAGCAGAAGCTTACTGATCAGTTTGTTTCCAAAGCCAGGTTGTTTCTGTGTCTTTAGGACTGACGTCACCCGAGCTCTTAAAATGCAGTAATTTAGGGGCTAGAGAGAACTTTCTGAACCCTCTTACCTCCTGCAGTTACATTTTCTTACAAATCCTACTGCTAAAACTCTCTGACCCACCGTTTTGGCGAAGTATTTATCTTTTTAGCACTGAGGCGTTCAAGGATGTTCTACCTTCTGTTGTGGGTGCAGGCTAGGAACAAAAGCCTTGTTGCCTAGAGGCCATTTATATTCCTGGAGAACTTAAAACGCTCTATAGCAATATTTGGGCAGCGTGTTTGTGTTCGTAACTGATTTTATAAAACGTTCGGCCTGTGCTCGGGTACAGCACTTTTTTGTGTGTGTATATTAGTTACTTTATCATGTAGGCATTTTAGCCATGGGGATAGGAAAAAAGTAGAACCTGTGTGAAAACAAACCAAAATAGGTCCTCCAAAGGAAAAGCAACTATTCTTATTTTTAGACAAAGTTACTTATGAGGAAGTCAGCATCTTTTTTTTTTTTTTTTTTTTTTTTTTTTTTTTTTTTTTTTTTTTTTTTTTTTTTAAGATTTTATTTTCAAGGAATCTCTACACCCAACCTGGGGCTCAAACTCACAACCCTGAGATCAAGAGTCTAATGCTCCATGGACTGAGTCAGCCAGGTGCCACAA